TTCATGTATGTACGTATGTATGTATGATATGTAATGCTATGCTATTTAATGTTTTATAATGTTTTGTTATGTAGTGTTATGTAGTGTAACGTAAGGTTATGTAAGGTTATGTATCGTTATGTAATGTAGTGCTATGTAATGTTATGTCATGTTGTAATGTTATATAATGTTATGTAGTGTTATGCCATGTTGTGTAACGTTATGTACTGTTGTGTAGTGTTACGTCAGGTTATGTAATGTTGTGCCTGGTTATGTAATGTTATGTAAAGTTATGCAATGTTACGTAATGTTATGCAATGTTTTGTAATGGTATGTAATGTTATGCGATGTTATGCAGTGTTATGTTATGATATGTAGTGTGTTGTAATGTATGCACAGTAATGATGTAATGTATTGATGTAATGCATTTAATGTATGTAGCGTTTTGATGTCTGTATGCATGTACGTATGTATGCATGCATGTATGTGGTTTTGTATGTATTCACACCCATCTACGCATGCGAGAAAGCATGTGCATTAGCCTGTAGTTACAAGGTCATGTGGTTTGTCGTAGAAGCTGTAACCTAAGTCCCCGTCTCACATGTCGCATTGCGGTGGAGCACTTAGTTCTCCATGGGGCCTCATCGTCACGTGTCGAAGTTTACACTGCAGTAATAATAAGACGATCCGGCGAACTCCGTTCACACATGCACCGTCCACACGTGCGTGATGGCCTCGAATCGTAGAAACATGTGCCACGCAAGGGTCAGAGACAGCCCCGATAGAACTTAGTTCTACATGGGGGGTTTCTCAAAGTTGGGGACCCTAATATAGTACCCTAAATAGTAGGATCCTTATCACAAGAACCCCAAAATAAGGTACCCTAATCTTCGGAAACTCCCACATGCTCAAGCCAAGCTCATTGGGGAACCAGGATGTAGCGAAGTCGGGCCTGGCTCATCATTTTAATCTTGGAAATCTAAAGTAGGGGCCTGAGTCTAATTGCCAATGCTACTTTGGGGGGGTTCCTTATATTGGGTTTAGGGCTTAGGGTTTAGGGTTTAGGGAAAATTATAGCAAAATGGGCCCCAAAACCTTGTTCTAATTATTAAGGGCCTGCTATATTCAATCCCCTAATCCAAATACCCTAGATAACCTAGATAACCGTTATATACCCCTTCTATAGTTTCAAAAAGCCCCTATATAACCGTAAGGGTCCCTTTAAGGGCACCCATCGATTTTTCCCAGGAGCGCTAGCAAGCGTCACTCCAGGAAACCTCTACCAGATCCAGGCCTAGGGTTTAGGGTTTTGGGTTTAGGGTTTAGGGTTTTACCGTGTGTGGCAAGGGGTTCTGGAAGGCTTAGTAAAAGTGTTAATGCAGGGGCCTTAATAAATAGAACAGGGTTTTGGGGTTAGATTATATTATAGTCATAGTAAGGAAACCCCCCAAAACCGTATTCTAATTATTCAGGCCCCGATATTACTATGTTGGGTATGGTGTGGAGCGTTAGGTGCATGGGTTGCATGGGCAGAAACCTAAATTCTTGGACGCGCCGTGCTGGTGATCTCACTCACCTGCCTTGTGGATACATGACTCTCCACGTACCCAGAGAACCCAATACCCTTAATTAAAGAATATACCTGAAATTATAGGGGCCCGAATATTATGATTTCAGGTATATTCCTTAATTGAGGGGTATTGGGTGCTCTGGGTACCTTTCGCAATGGGTATTGAACAGTTTCAGAGTACACTTTCAGCGCCGTTATCTAATGACGCCGGTCCCAATGCTTGCGACGCAGTTCTGTTCTGTGCACGGGAGGCCCATTTGAAGAGGCTTCAGAGCTTTGAGATCTCCACGCGGAAGCTCATCAGCAAGTGGCCTCCACCTCAGCAGATCTTCTAAAGCCCGGCGATCATCAGATTGAATTGTGCTGTCTAGGTATGTCTGAGTTATTGGGCTTCGACCTTATACATCATGTTCTACGGTAGGCTAAAGCAACGCCGGAGATTCGAGACTGCCAGATACGTGCGACGTCCCCTGGCCCCAGAATCCTTGTGACAAGTCCTTGAGCAACTCAAGGGTCTGGCATAGACAGCCTAAAAGAAACGGAATTCTTAATGGCTACTGCAAGCGGCCTAAATAATTATTTTGGAAGGGGGTCCTCATTATAAGTATACTATAAAGGCCCCAAAACCCAATTCTAATGATTAAGGCCGTTATATTACCACCTTACAAGAAACCTAACCCTTCTATTCTTTCGCTTGGTCCTCTAAGTAGGGCTAGCCTAAAGCCCCTGCTTGTTGCTGCTTTTTGTATTTTTCAACTTCGGTGCCCATTTCAAGCCCGCCCATGGCTTTCTTCTGGTTTAGAACTTTATGGGGGTTTCCGAAAATAGGGGACCCTAATATAGCACCCTAAATAATAGGATCCTGATTATAAGGACCCCAAAATAAGGTACCCTAATTTTCGGAAGTCGAGGCGGAAGCCCCACAGCCACAAAACTAGACCCAGTCGGTGCGTTTCGACGCTGTGGGAGACTTCAGTCACTGCCAGACTTCGGGGCTCTGTGAGAGCTGGTGGTGTAGGGCAGCCAATCAAGCGCCAAAAGCAATGCACAACATTGGCTTAGGGTTTGGGTATTGGAGTTTGTGAGTGTCTCGATTCAGGAAGAGGTTAGTTAGTGATTGCTGAGTTTGATTGCTATTGTTTTTCTTCCTTCTGGGTCCAAGGGTTAAGTCGCGTCGATCCAGTGTGCCCTTGGGTATTACCTCAAAACCCTGTTTCTGAGTCCTTGCATCTATGTTTGATTTTTCCCAGGTAGTAGTAGGGAGACCCCTTGGAGGGGACCCATTTTAACACTACTTATGGCTCTCTTAAATTTTCAAGGTGACCTTATTGAGAGGGTCTATATTTGTCTATATCCCCAAGGGTCCCCCTAATCCTAACTCCCATTTTTGATGTCGCATGTGTCGCTGGCGTGGGCAGTTGCTGTTCGTGATTCCGTCATCGCCTGGGTCGTGATTCGAAGTTCTGCCAGAGCTTGCGGACCTGCATGCCAATGGTTTGGTTACATGTGTTGAAGCCGCGCATCCGGGCTATGTGCACATGGGGCTTCGCTGTTGCCCCGTAACCAGCTGTGATTTTAACAACGTGGTAAGTCTTTCCAGATTATGACTTCTGCAGGGGGAACCCTAAACCTTCTTCAGAACCGTAATACACCGCCCATGCAAGCCGGCCACTACAGGGGAGAGACTCTTTGGGTTTGTAATAGGTATAGGGACTAACCAGGCTATCCAAAACTCTGTTGAAGCCATATAAGAACCCTTAAGAGTCTTTCAGCTAGGGTTTAGAGTTTAGGGGACAGAACCCTGTAGGAACCCTTACAGAGTGGGTCTGCCCTACGCCGCCTCCCCAAAGCCTTCGCTGCCAAGGCTTACACGAGAGAAGCTCTTGGAACAGATCTGTACTTCCCATGCTTTGGGTCTGCGCCTCTGTGAATCCGGTTAGGGTTTAGGGTTTACCTAGATCCCAAAGAACCTACCTTTTTAAAGACTTGTATACGGAAGTCATAATAAGGAACCCTAAAAAGGGAGGTTCTTAGGGAAAAAGCTGTGCAATTGAGAAGACTCGCACAAGCAAGTGTATTTCGATGCGTCCCTCATCCTTTCCGTTTCTGCGTGAGGCAATACAGTACCCTAAACCCTTGCGTCAGCCTGCTTGCAAGGTGTGAACGACAACCGGCTGGTCTCGCTGAAGGCCAATGTCCAAAAGCTGGACAAGATCAGCCGCAGCCCCCAGATGCCTAGGTTCCTTCAATAGGTTCCTGCAACAAAGGACCAGAGCAAGTAAATAAGCAAGGAAGTAGGTATAAGTAAGTCTGTCTGTTTGTGTATGTGTGTCTCTGAACGTGCGTGTGTGTGTGTGTGTGCGCATGTCTGCGTGCCTTTGTTTCTATGTGAGTGTGTGCGTTTGTTTGTAGTAAGGGTAACCGAGGCAGGGAGGGGGGGGAGGGAGGACGAATAGCTCCACTGCAGGTAGCTGCCGAGACCTCAGGAGGCCTATCCAACCACAACCACCGCCATCTACAGCCAGCTTAGGGGTCTTGTGCGTGTCGCAGCAATTTGGACAGCTCTTTGGTGCCAAACCCTAAACCCTAAACCCTAAACCCTAAACCCTCCAAGCCTGAGTGTATCAGAGCCTCGAAGCCTCGAAGCTGTCGGAAGCCAAATCGAGGCTCTTCGCTGGTGTCTGAGATTGGCATCTGGGGCCGTCGATTCGCGGATTTCGTGGTCGACGCTTCCAGGGACCCACTGGCGCCTGACCTGCATCGGTTTGGTTATACATGTTTAGACATGTACGAATCGAAGAATATATATATATATATATGGTATATATATATATGCTATGATAATGATGGGTTTATCCAGTAGTTATTCTTACGCAGTTACGGCGCAAACAGTCTGTGTTCATGGTATGCTCCACTGTAGTTCAAGTATTCTTGGTCATGACATCCAATTTCAGCGTTTCAGCGGCTTCGAAGCCACACTTCATGGGATGGTGCCTCTGAGCAGGGCACGGAGTTTGTTATCGCGATCGGTGAGCCCAAAAGCTTGTAATGATGGCAGTAATAGGAACGGCCACCGTCATACATTAATAACCACATCACACACACACACACGCAATCTTGGTCATCTTACTGAGAACGGTAGTCATCGTAATCAGGCGAAAACAATTGTCGTCACGAGCACTGTCGAGCAACAATCGTGAGGAGGAGCAGCCCGCTCGGGTGCTTGGGGGAGCTGTATGCCCTAAACGGTAAAACTTAAACCCTCACAACTCCCAAACCCTAAACCCTCAAAAACCCTGAACCCTCAAAAACCCTAAACCCTCAAAAACCCTAAACCCTCAAAAACCCCGAATCCTCAAAGAACCTAAACCCTCTAAATCCTGCACCCCGAGGCCCCGACCACGCTGCCGAAGCCACGACCGATCTTTGTTTGGGGCGGCCGTGATGCGATCGAAAGGGTGTGGCCCCCGAAGGAGATTGAGGGGTTCAAGGTAAAGGGCTTAGGGAAGGTTTAGGGTTTAGGGTTGCAGTCGGCAGATCCCTAGACCCTAAACCCCTAAACCCAAAACCCTACACCGCAAGTGACAAGGTTGTAGATGTTTGCTGTCATCAGCCGCGTAGTTTAGCCTACCACAAGGGATCTACTTCAGGGTCTCCCTGGGATGGCTTGTCTTTGGGCGGTCTTACACTGAGCTGCTGCTGTAGAGGCAGCGGAACTGATGCTGTGGCGCATGTTCGGGATATGGAGCATATCCCCTATAGTCTCCGTAACATGACTATGCTGAGAGAACACTTGAATACGAATCAAGCCAGAACAAGAGCATGGACGAGGATGTAAAATGCCGAAGAATTCCATGGAACTCCTGGTGACACTAAGCCCAATATCTGTGCTATCATGCTCTTAGCAGCCCGATGAGAGTGCTGTTGACTTCTTCAGCTCAGGTTTTCAGAATGTCTTTTAAACTGCCAGTATATAAGCCCACCATGCGTCTTCAGACACACTGAAAGCCCCAGACGCCCTGCAGCCCTGCATTCTCTAATAGCTCAGCCCGGTGCCAAGATCCAGAGCGACGCAGAGCGGTTGGTTCGCGGCGACATGTCTGCAGGAGGCTCAGCATTGCTACTTTCGAATCGGGAACTATGTGAAACGATATCGCCCCCTGGCGGGGATGCGTGCTCTTGACACGAGCAGCCACAGACCGGTCTACCAGTTGGCCAGAGAGCAAGCAGAGGTTGAGCCAGGTCGGCCTGCAGGAGGAACTCTGGTAGTAACCCTTATCATCCCTTGTCCTTGTGGACCTTACCGATTCCATCTCTCCCCTGTGTCTTGGGTAAAATGAGGTTTTCCATCAGCCGCAGCAGAGAGACGACGAGGCCTCGAAGCATGCAGGTGCGCATCGGGAGATTGTCATGGTGAACTTGCGGGGTGAGTTCTCGGCTGCCCTACACCTACGATAAGGGCTGTACTATTACGGTTTAGGGTTCACGGCTTTGCTTTTTGTTGCTTGTTCTTGCCGCAGAGTTTACTGTGTTTTTGCAACATGTCCATGTGTTGCAAAAATCCCGAGTTGTTGATGCAACCCAGTGAATCTTCAGTCCTGCGATGGCCATTGATACTGTCATGAGTCATGCGTACAGACTATAGCAACCTATCCATCTATCTATCTAACTATCTATCGATCCATCTTTCTATCTCTCGATCTATCTATCTATCGATCGATCCATCTATCTATCTGTGTGTCTATCTATCTGTCTGTCTGTCTGTCTGTCTGTCTGTCTGTCTGTCTGTCTGTCTGTCTATCTACCTATCCATCTACCTATCCATCTACCTATCTATCTATCTATCTATCTATCTATCTACCATCTACCTGTCCATCTGTCTATCATCTGTCTATCTAACATCTGCCTATCTACATATCCATCTATCTATCTATCTATCTATCTACCTATCTATCAATCTGTCTATCTACCTATCTACCTATCTATCTATCTATCTATCTATCTATCTGTCTACGTTGGCAGGCTCGGATTTAGAAGGTGATCACAGCCTGCCCAAGACTCAGCTTTGCAAGCGTGCAGTGCTTCGCAACACGTTGTTGAGCCCAAAACTTCCATCATTAGAATAGTGGGTACTTCCGAGTACATCACCTCCGCCATCATGGAGCCGCGCAATCATCAAGCATCCACTGCCAATATCACGACATCTACAGCCATAGCCCTCATCATCAGCGTCTTCAACTTTCAATGTCTGTCTGTCTGTCGGCCGGTATGTATGAAGTGGCTTATTGATGTCTGTATGTCTGTATGGATGTATGTATGTATGTTGGCATGTATAGGTATGTAGATATCTAAAAGTATGTAGGAGGGTTGGCTTGTAGGTGTGCATGCATGCATGTACCTGTGACTGAGTTTCCTTTCCATATGCGTGTATGACAATAGTGATAAATAAGAACAGTAACAATAAGCATCGCACCCAACACAAGGATCGGCATAAAGGGTCTTTCGGTGCTCCGGACGCTTCAGCGCAGGAGGGTTTAGGGTTTAGGGAGCCTTAAAGACGAAATCAATGAACCCTAATAGGGCGTCAGGGTCAAGCACCATATAGGGATTCATAGTATGAAGGCATATAGGCCCCTACTTTTAAGGGTCATTTCGTCCTTCAGCAGCGCAGTTGCATGCAGCTTCTTGCTTCGCACTTCCCACTCGGAGGAAAGGCATTTTGGCGCCAAGCAATCCAGAGCCCGCTCTTTGCAACTCGCACATTTCCGATGACCATGAAGATCGTTGCTGCAGCTGCCGGCGCCGTGGCCTTTCAGGCGCTTGGAGGGCTCTTTGCTTCGCCGGCAAGGGCGGCCTGGGGCTGGTTCATGGACGTGCCGACCGGTCTCGGCTTCACTTGCAGTGAGGGCACCTCTCTTGGCTGTGCCTCTCCTGCAGGTTGTGAGGACTCCAACTTTACTTGCACGGTCGTGCCCGATGCGGGCATGAGCTGCGATGTCACTTCCACGAACGTCGTGTGCTCCATTGAAGGCGGTGCCCAGAACTTCGTGCCGGACTCGGCCAGTCCGATGTGTGCCCAGGTTAACACCAGCAGCCACTACAACAACGCAAGCCTGTCCTGGAGCACGGTCCCGACCTGCGGCACGACCACCACCGGCGCGACATCGACGTCTGATGCAAGCGTGGGGATGGTCGGATTTGCGGCGGCGGCGCTTGCCACGGCGCAGCTGCTCTAAGAGCATGGACTGCGGAATGTATAGGAAGTGTGATGTGCAGTCGCCAAAATGTCAGGTGGCATGGACCACAGCAGGAAGAGGCTCTGGAAATATGATGGGCTGTCCTGCTGTTTCCATCGCATTTGATTTTGTTCTTACTCTGCGATGACACAGAATGTGCATCAGAGAGTTCCTGCTTCTTCGGCCTGCGACATTCTTCGCAAGTACTTGGCTTGGCATGCTTGGCCATACCCATGTGCTATGCCCAATGTAAAAGGCACTTCGTCTTGATGCGGGCCATAGCTTCTGATCTTATAGAAGTTCTGCAGCCACTTGGATGCCTCGAGTTCAGAGATCGACTTTGTAGCATGTTTCCAAGGTCCCAGCGCTTCAAGGACTGGGGCTTCGCAAGCTCAACCAGCCGATATGCGACTCGGCGAAACCCTAAACCCTAAACCAGCCCTAACCCCCCAGGTACCTACTATATAGGGTACTAGAGCCCCTAGGGCCCTATATAGTAGGTACCTGGGGGGTTAAGGCAGGGTCCTGGATGTGAACGCCCTTAGCCGAGGACGATGCTCTTTGGTGAATAGCAAGTTTGGGCCCGAAGACTTCTTGCCTTTTGACCTGTAACCTGCTAATATACGGGCCTTAATAATCACCTATACCATTTTTAGGGTTTAGGGTTTAGGGTTTTGTGGGGTTCCTTAAGCCCTGTTTTTTTTTTATGATAATTATACTATATTGGGCCCCCAAACCCTATTCTAATAATCAAGGCCCCTACATTAGATACGCGATGAAGGTTTTTCTTGTGAAGTTGCAGAGATAAGGTTTGTTTTGTGCATCGTACCTTGGTGATGCTTCGGATGGATGGGCCCCCAGGTCTCCGAGTCTCCTGCGCAGACTCCACAAAACCAGTGTGGTTTACGACGTTCATATTAGTAGCAGAGTAGAAATGGGGGGTTTCCGAAAATGGGACCCTAATATAGTACCCTGAATAGTGGGATCCTTATCAGAAAGACCCCAAGATAGGGTACCCCTTGTTCTCGGAAACTCCCGAATGAATGCGCCGAAGGCTTGCTCTGTAGTCTCCTACAGTGGCCCAATCCCAGAGTCTGAAATTCCCATCACGTTCTGCCTCTAAACCCCAAACCCCCACACCTTAAATTTCACGCTACTCCCTCATAAGAGCCCTTATAGTAATTCTTGCAGTAGTCGTCGTAGCTATAGACCCCTTACGCAGTAGATTCGAGTGGGAATTCCAAACCCTGTTACGAGATTTTGGTGGATATGCTGTGGGCAGCTGAGGCCAAGGGATCCAAGTCGCAGAAGGCTCCCGAGCTGCTTCAGAGAAGCCTGAGGATAGTGCTAAAGATAACACATAACAAGAAAAGTCAGAACAGCAATACTGATAGGAACAGTAGTAATTGTCATAATAGGTATCTTCTGTTGTCCTTGTTGGGAAGCCACAGTTTCTGTTACTTCTAGTGCGCCCGCTCATCATTTGGAGGCTTCGGATGGGGTCCGATTCTGCACAGTCTTCCTTTCGTAGTCCTGTTCGATGGACATATGGTAGCCCAAAGCACGGCTGTTCAGATAGCCAGCTGAGGGGTACCTTATTTGGGGTCCTCATAATAAGGATCCTACTATTTAGGGTACTATATTAGGGTCCCCTATTTTCGGAAACACAAGCTGCTTGTCCAATCTCCTGGGACGGGCTAACTTCGTGTGGGGATCTCAAGTGCACAGGCATCTTCGGCGGGCCTGCCAACGTGCACTTTGGCAGCAGCCACGGTCAGACTGCCTCGCTTCAAGAACGGAGATACATCGGTACATCTCCACATAGTTATGCAAGTCTATATAGTTTGGCGACAGACTGTCATTGACTTCGCCGACAAAGTTGACAGCTTTGGGCAATGGACGTTGCCTGCGTCGCCGGCTGCCAGGATCGTTTTACTGCGAGCTCGTCTGACAGAATAGACAAGTTACAAGATTTGAATCCCAAAAACGAACTACCGAACCGAAAAACCCTAAACCCTAAACCCTAGACCCTACACCTTAGACCCTAAACCTGCAGCGCGGCCAGGTCTCTGCACAGAGCTTCAAGGTCACAGACGTGGAACCGGCATGTTACTATGGCGCCTGACATGACTAGTTAGAAAGGGGATTTGGGGGGGGTATGTGATACATAGTTGGGACGGACCATACGGGAATACTCTTAGGAATTATCCAGAGCCTATATTAGACAAAGATGCTTCGTAGCAAGCCCTGCAAACCTGCTCGTGACAACTTTGAGGCAACGCCCACTCGCAGACCCTCCATTTCTCGCTAGCAAAGCAAAGTAATTCCGCACATGGAACCTGCATGGAAGGATCCTCATTTTATGCAGCCCGGCCCTTTCTGCGGAAACCCCTTCTGACTTCTGTTTTGAAACTCTCAGCTCTGGGACACAAGCCTATATCTTGTACGGACGGCCACACACCCTAGACCCTCAGCCCGGTAAACCGAGAACCTCAGCGCCCTGTCGCCAGGTGCTTTTCGAAGGTCCTGCGCCGCTTGGGGCTTGGTTGTCAGGACTCTTGTGGACTTTTCGCCATTCTCCGATCTTGATCATGGCCTTGGTAGGTAATGTAGGCTGATTAGGGGACCCGGGCCCTGAAACCCCTAAACCCTAAACCCGAAACCCTAAACCATATTCTAATTCTTAAGGCCCTACATTACCCCTGAACCCCAAACCCTATTCCAGTCCCCAAGGCCCCTGCGCTGCCCCTAAAGCCTGAACCCTACTTTAGAACTTAAGGCTTAAACCCTGAGCCCTATTCTAGATCTTAAGGCCCCTACATTACCCCAAAAAAACCCTAAACCCTAATCCCTATTCTAGTTCTTAAGGCCCCTACAGAACCCAATACCAAAAAGGGACCTCTGTTTGTTCCACGGTTACTGGGGATCTTGGTCGATCTGGAGCCCTTGTAGTTTGGGGTTTAGGGTGTATCGGGGTGTATGGTTTAGTGATTTAGGGTCTACAGGGTTTCAAGGTTTAGGGTTTAGGGATTTAGGGTTAATAGGGGGTTTAGGGTTTTGGGTTTAGGGGTTTAGGGTTTAGGGTTAAGCCAGTTGCAAAAAAAAAGGGTTTAGGGTTAAGGGCATGGACGCGGCAACCTTGCCAGCAACCGGCAGGATCTCACGCCGACATGAAGCGGTTCTAGTTCCTATTATGTGGGATTACGGGCAATAGTGCCCATACTGGAAGCCTTAAACCCTACACCTACACCCTCCAAAACCCTACTTCCCCCTATCCCACACTTTCCTACGTTCTATAACCCTGAACTCTAACCCCTCAGCCCTAAACCCTATATACACATAATATGTTCATACACATGCACATATATATGTGTATATATATATATATACGACATATACATACATACATATACATATACATATACACATCTATATATATATATAACAACAATACTCATAATTATGATAATGCCAATAATAATAACAATAACAATAATAATAATAATAATAATAATAATAGATGTATGTGTAAGCCTTCGCTCCTCCGCTCAGGTCTTGGTATCGAGCCAAGGTGGCCAAAGCCGGGATCAAGGCCCCAGCCAACGTTTAGGGTTTCAGGGTTCAGGAGAATATGGATTAGGGGGGTTTGGGGGTTTAGGGTTTCAGGGTTCAGGGGAATATGGATTAGGGGGGTCTCAGGGTTCAGGGGAAGAGGGATTAGGGGGATTTGGGGGTTTAGGGTTTCAGGGTTCAGGGGAAGAGGGATTAGGGGGGTTTGGGGGTTTAGGGTTTCAGGGTTCAGGGGAAGATGGATTAGGGGGGTTTGGGGGTTTAGGGATTATGGGGTTTCGGCTCTACTCGGTTATACCAATCATTACTGTAATGCTGTGCTACTTTATAAGACCTGTTATGCAGCTCAGCTCAGTAGTACCTTGAACTTGCCGAGTTTTACTGGTAACTTTGTCAGGGTAGACATAGTCCAAAAGGTTGAAAAATGCGTAGGGACCCATCGAAAGTTTGAAAGTTTTTTTTGTCAAGCCTTTCGTTCGTAGATCAAGCGTAGTCTAGACAAAGCCTGGGCCCTTAACGCTAAACCCCAAACCCGACCTCCAAGCCCCCACTCGACGCACAACAAGAACGGGATTGGCTGCAGCTGTTTTCCGAAGTTTGGAAGCTTGATTGAACCCTTTCCGCCCGGACCGACCCCATTCAAATCCCACAAAGGAGCTGCGAACATCAGTCGCCGAAGTCTAAATCCTAAATCCTACACCTTTGTACCCTTTAGCGGCCATGCCACCTAACTGAAGCCTAGGCGCTGAAGCGGGGCTTACCGTGTGGTGGCGGAGACAAGAGGATGTGAGCACCTTTTTGTTTTGACGCGGGACCTCATCCGACTAACGTTAAGTATGATGGTGCTTGATACTGCACTACGTTGGGTTGGGGCTATCGGTCAATATCGGGCTTACGGTGTATTGGTAACACACGATGTCGCAGGATGAAACCCACCGTCAAAACGAATCATTGCTTGAGTGAGTCGCAGGGTGAGATCCTGAACCGTAAAGCCGAATCCCGACACCCTGAGCCTTGTCGTACCCGCATACTTGGAGGCCCACGGGACTTAGTAAGTAGGTTACAAGTAGAGTTATAAGTCTCCTCAATCAATGGAGTTACCCCAGTTATAACCCTACCTATAACCGACTAAGTCCCCTGGGCCTCCAAGTAGTCACCTCTCGTACCCTCATTACGCAAAAAGTCACCCTGTTTTTCCCCAAACCAATCCCTAAGGACCGGCCCATCAGTGGGGAGTGCATTCTGCATTCTACCGCTGTAGCTGTTCAAACTTCGAAATGTCGAAATTCAGGGGTTCCTCGTTTAGGGTTTTAGAGCAAGACGCACACATTGAGAAGCGATTTCAGGATCTGTTTCAATATCTCCCCCACAGGGCAGTTTTGAGGCCAACATTGCCAATCTCACACTCGCGACAGCACGACCAATGTACAGTTCCCCGTTCAAGTCAAAGTACTTGCTGCGTCGCTCAAGACGGGCGGCACAAGGGTCAATCCAGTTTGTACAGGCTTGGGGTCACCACAGTGCCGGCATAGTCAAGCGTCCGGACCAAGTATAGCGACATGATGTGGCCTCAATCCTGTTATTTCGTCGTCGAATAGTGTTCTGTAAGACAATATTGAGATTGCGGTTGTGACAACGGAGGCAATCGTAGCAAGAGGAGTCATCGTCTCACAATCCATGCTCGAAGAGGGAAGCTGGCCATGTACTCCGCATGGATGCATGAGCCGAAAGCTCCCAAACTAAACCCCCATAGCCCGAGAGGGGTTCTTGTCGTGAGATTCCCTAAATCCCCGTTTAGGGTTTAGGGTATAGGGTTCCTAAAGGGGGGCATCTATGTGCTTAAGCCAGGGGGACCCCCCCTCCCCTGCTTTTCCGAGCAGCTCAAGGCAGCCACCTTCTTATGAAGATTTGGTTTCGGCCTTGGTGTGGAAAAAGCCAGGAACTCTGCCAGTGAAATCTGTGTTATGTACAGGCCTAAGTACCTTGCAAACGGTTCCCTTATAGTCCATCTACACCTATACGATCTAATCTAACAACCCACAAGAGTTGTTGAGAGTGCAGATGTTGGCGTTTGGAGGGCCACTGTTCTCTGCTTGTAGCATCAGGTCTTGATGCTGCTATACTTATGAAGAATCAGCCGCCATCAATCTACATTGGAAGACAGTAAAGCTTGAAGCCGCAGTAATTTAGTAGTCCCTTTTGAACCCGCTTTGCGATGGTAATATAGGGGCTTTAACAGTTACCTAAACTGTTTTGTGGGTTTTATCGTATAATGGGCCCCCAAAACCCTATCCTAATTATTGAGGCCCCTATATTATGGACCCATTATAAGAGTTTGTCTCAAGCCCTGTCATACGGCCTAGGGTTTAGGGTTTAGGGGTTCAGGGTTTAGGGTTTAGGCCTTAGGGTTTAGGGTTTAGGTGTTTAGGGGTTTAGGGTTTAGGGTTTAGGGTCACTCCTGCAGAGGCCCAGAGAATAGCCAGAGAGCTGGAGAAGACAAAGGTTACGCTCGAGGAGCCCACTGAAACACCTCTTGGGGTTTCTTGACATTTAGGGGTGCCCGTTCGGGGTCAGCATTGCTAGGGATCCTCTCATTTCGGAGTTTCTATGCAAGCCCTTTATGGCCTGAAGCTCCCATCTTAGTGGCGGCTGCAATGAGCAACCTGCCAAGGACAAGTGTCACCCTAAACCCTAAACCCTAAACCGTAGTTTTGTTGTTTTGGCGGATCCTGTCGCACACTGGAGACATGATCTGCCGAGGGTCCATTTTGTCGGAAGGGATGCCAGGGATGCCGTGCAAACCCTAAACCCGAAACCAATGTTGGGGTCGCCAGGAGCTGCAGAGAATAGAGCGATCTTTAGTGTAAGGACACCGACCAATAACTGGGACACAGTGCAGTGTAGTGTTGTCTAGCATGGCCCAATGCAAGCGAAACCTTAGGCTAGTGTGTCCCTGTGGCCTGTTCACTATAACTATAGTGGTCGGAAGACTTATTAAATAGTATCCCACCGTAGCCGTAGCCCCTATGTTATGGACCCCAGATCCTGACAGTCCATGTATGAAGGCATCTGCATTATGGGGCTCCTTCATATGCTTAGGTTTTTATGGACCCACATCCCTGTTGTAATTGTCGGGTCCACCACAGTACCCGGAAGCACATGATCCCTATGGATACCCTGCCCCGAAACGCCAGACCTAAACCCAAAACCCCAACCCAAACCCCAAACGTTAAACCTTAAAGCTCGAACCCTAATCCAGAAAGCTTACACCCTAATCCAAAAAGCCTAAACACAAACCCTCTAAACTTTTATTTCCCTCAACCCTAAACCCTAACCCCTAAACCTTAACCCTAAACCTCTAAACCAATTCCATGCCTTGGAGCATTGCAGCTTTGCAGGAGTCGCAGAGGGCCCGGCAAACAGAGCTTTCCGCCATGGTCAAAAATATGCTGGCAGCTTATTCGGCTTTTGGGTTGAGGGTTCAGGATTTAGGGTTGAGGAGGTTCGAAGTTGAGGGTTTAGGGCTGAGTTTTGGGGTTTTCAACCGGTTTTAGGGTAATTACATGCAGGACAAGGGTTTGGGGTGTACGGTTCTGGGATCTACGCTGGCATAATATGTTTACAACAGCAGGGTTTACGGAAAATCTCTGGAAGATACGGTTGGGCTTGTTTTGGCTCCGAAAGCCTTGCTGGTTGCCTTCCGACGTCAAGCCCGAGACACGATGCTTCGACCGTGGTGTGACGCTGTTGCCGCTGGTGCTTTTGTATCTTGAAGATTTTGATTCGAAGCTTTGCCATGTCTGCGCACGAAAACCCCACGAATGGTTGTTCATGTTAACACCTATGCATATCAACCCTCGGAGTGAAAAGCGTCTTTACTTCCGGCCTGGGACATGTGGCCTAAGGTGCTCCAGCAAGACGACTTCCGGGGTTCAAGTCCACATTCAGCGTCATCCGCTCGCAGGAGACTGCTTTTAATTCTAATTTCAAGGAACTTAACAAGCAGCCTGACCTCTTTCGTTCTCTCTCTCTCTCACTCTCTGTCCCTTCGTGCGACTTCCGATGTTCTTCTACCAGGTGAAAATTTGGTAATCCCAACAGCTCAGTTCCAAGTTCGACCATCCACAGTCAATAGTAGCTGCTGGCATCAACTTGAGAGTATGTGATGTATACGTGCGGAAGTATACATATATATATGTATATATATATATATGCATATAGTGAAACATTTTATGTTGATATGTAATGCTGAACTGAATTCTTCGCTGTGTTCTCTCCTTCGCGTATACAGTTGTAGCTGCATGCACGCACACGGCTTGCGCGTCTATCTACCTACCTATCTATTCATCTACCTACCTATATATCGATCTACGTATGCGTCTATCTATCCACCTCGCGTTTCTGTTCATCGATCGACTTATTTGTGCTTATCACATTTTATGGTCTTGAGGAGTGTGACTACTATGTTGTTGGTGGCTATTGCCGGTGTCTTTTACTAGTTACATCTGCTGCGACCAGTATATCTAGAAACAATATTATACTCATTCAGCAGGTTGCATGTCACTATAGAAACAAGTCAATCAGAAGCAGGGGAAATCCCCAACCAATACATGTGCATACATATTACGTAGAAAATTATGTGTTTATTTATATATGCATATATATATATGTGTGTGTGTACACACACACACCCCTACTCACACACGTACTTATGTACGTAAATATGTGTGTGTATATATATATATATAAATGTATCATGTATATAATGCACACATGCACACGTGCATACGAAACACTGTAAGTACACCTAGCAGATCCAGCACCCATAGCATGTTACATGCTACCGTGTCATGACATGTTTAAGCTTAAGACTCAAAGCTTAAGGCCTTAGAATCAAATCGCAAAGTCGACATTGCAAGTCGTGCCACTCTTTACGTGTTGAAAGCACACTTGTTTTGCGCACATGTATTACAACGAGTGTGTTTCGTGTACTCGTTAATCTGTGAACTCATTCATATTTTTGCAACCCTAAACCAAACACCCTAAACCCTAAGCCAACAACCCTTAAACTCTAAGCCCTAAACCCTTAAACCTAAAACCCTTAAACCTTAACACTAAACCAAAAACCCTTAAACCTTAACCCCAAACCCTAAACCAATAGCCCTTAAACCTTAACCCTAAACCCTAAAACCTGAGTCGTCAGGAGCCGTCGAAAGCCGCGGACGGCTTGGCGGGAGCTGAGCGCAAGGCCTCCGGCCACCAAAAAAATTAGGGTTATTGGATCGATAATTTAATATACAGTAGTATAGTACAGTATAAGGTTTAGGGCTTAGGGTTTAGGGTTATAGATTAGTACAGTATAGTATGGCATATTAACGTATAGTAAAGTATCGGTTACGTATACTCCGGTTAGCAACCTGCTATATAAGTAATTGGAGCGCTTGGGATTGCTGCCTCAAGGGAAGAAATCGCGCTGACCTCCGGTCGTCACAGAACAGCTTGAAGTGTGCTTGGTAAGGTTATGGAAGGAGAGAGAGAGAGAGAGAGAGAGAGAGAGAGAGTCGGGCTTCGGTCTTCCAAAACAGATCCCATGCCCTGCAAACTTGAAGTGCCCAGGAGTGGATGATCGAGTTCAGACGCCAGCCAGGCCTTCTGATGATGAAAGGGGTAGTGCACGGCCGGGCCGCTATGGTTTAAAACCCAACAGGTGCATACACGCACGCAGGCACGCACGCACGCACTAACGCACGCACAAATCTTCTCGCATGTACAGTTCACTGATTTTCAAGGCAATGCAATGCGGTGTATTTCAAATAATGTACATATATATATATATATGCGTGTGTATATGT